AAAAAAAAAAAAAAAAAAAAACTTAGACGTACAAGCGTATAAACTTAATTATTAAAAAAAAAAAAAAAAACTAAATTTTAGAGACATATATTGAATTATATTTTGTAAAAATATATTTACTTTTATTTTATTAATTTTTAAAATAAAATGTTATTTATAGTTAAGGAAAAATCGGTAAAGAGAATTAGGGAAGGCCATTGATTATGGGGCAGTTGAGGAAAACGGTTATGATACAATCGCTATAAAAACAAATCCAACGCCAAATTCTGAAACAGAGGAAGCCTAAAAACCCTAAAAAGCCATTTTAAACTATCAATTTCCAATTTCAAAATGGCTGAAAACCGCTTGGTTTCTTTCTCACTCCTATTTCTTGCCGCCGCCGCCGCCGCCGCCGTCTTATGCAACGGCCAAGCTCACGGATCCGACATCTGCGACAAAGCCGACTACGCGCGCCTCTGTCGGTTCGCAGTGAAAGGGTCGAACGACCCAAGAGTTGCCCTTAAGAACACCATCGAAGTGCTCATGTCTCAAACGGAAAGTGCCAAAGCGTCGAGTCAGAGGCTGGGGAACTCGCAGTTCATAGCGGTGTGCACCGAGAACTTTGACTCCGCCATCGATGATCTGGTGAGAAGCCTCCAGTATTTGGAGAGTAATGACAAGGCGAGCCTTCAATCCAGCCTGACTGGGTCGCTGTCTTTCTACGTGACGTGCAAAGATACGTTGGTGGAAGGGGGAGATGAGGTCATGAAGTTGGCTTCAAATCTGTTGATAAAAGATGACATGCTGCAACGTATGGGTGCGAATTCTTTGTATTTGGCTTCTTTGTTGAGATGATTTTCCCAATTGCTTCGTACTTGGGTGCTTCATTGTGAAATACTTCATTTATTATTGTTATAATAATTCAAAAGTGCGACGCCTAAATTAAATGAGAAAAAGTATTATCTCAAATTACTTCCCTTTGTATTATTGCTTCCCAAATCTAAAAATTAAAAAAAAAAAAAAAAAAAACAGGTCAGTAACACTTTTGTTAATAACACTCAAGCTTATCTTTAAGTCAATTAACACTTTTGTCTTTCCAGTACAATAGCACTCATCTTGCCTTTGAAAACAGAGGGTAGGTAGCAACTAATACCTATACTATATATTTTTTTAAATATTATATCTCAACGTCTACCGATATAATTTTTTTTTAAAAGTTAAATATTATTTAAAAAGTATTATAATTTTGGAGTTTTTGGCCGAAACAAGATATAATGGGGTGAAATAAAATGGTGGGCAATCTAACGAACTTCAAAATTTATTGTTTTGACTTTAATTTGCACGAATTTTGTTTTTGGTCAAAACAGAATATAATGGGCTGATGCCCAATCTTTTAGTTATGAATTTACTAAAGATGTAGACGCAAAAGAGAAGCAAAGATGTTGTCCTTCGTAGCCATGTACTATTAATGGTGATGCTTCACATGTACAATGATTATACCAATATATATACGATATATACAAAAACATGCATCACTTTAATCCAAATAGTTGTAACGAGGAATAAAACCAGATCTCTGAGATTCTATATTGGTTGGAAATCAACTGATCTCCCACATCGGTTGGAGAGAGGAAGCTTCCCAAACCTTGAGGGGAAGCAAGCTTGGAAGGGAAAGTCCAAACCTTGAAGGGAAACAAGCCTAGAAGGGAAAGCCCAAACCAAGAAAGAGAGGGATGGGGTTTCTCTTGCTTTTGGCATAACAGGCCCCAACGGGAGGCCCACACGACGGGTTATTAACTCAATGGATAGATGGGTCGATTCAAGTGAGATCCAATAGTAGATCCAACTTTCTATTCACTTATGGGATCCGGGCGGTCCTGGGGGACCACCTCAGCTCCTCTCTTCTCGAGAATCCAAACCTTTAGAGAAAACTTGGAAGGTAAAGCCCAAAAAGACAAAATAGAAACTTATGAAATTGTATGGGACAAAAGGGCAGACTTTTCATTAAACATATTTAGTCATGTAACTAATACGACCCACGTGATTGTTAGTTTAAACATATTTCCACCATTAAATCGTTGATATTTCATATCCGGTTTAGATCACACTCATACACAAAAGGATACACCACTAACCAATTTAAGGTATAAGAGATAAGAGATGGGTATCTAAGAGCTTTTAAACTCTCACACCAAGTGCCTCTCCTTTACTTTTCTCATTCAAAAGCACTCTAAAAAAAACGCCTTGTTCACTCAAACTATTCACAAAATGAGCTAAAGATAAGGAGAGGCGTTTTTTTTAGAGTGCTTTTGAATGAGAAAAGTAAAGGAGAGGCACTTGGTGTGA